TTGTTAATTTCCCCGTAATATGTTATTTTGCTAGGTTTAATTGAGCAGATATCATTACACAGAGAAAAAAAATTGCAGTTTTGTAAAATATGGATATTAGCAATATTAATTTCCCTTTAAAATAAAAAATTTCCATAAATATATCAGGAAAAAATATGCTTGCAAGTTTTTTTTCATTTGGTGTTTTTTCCTTTACACACAAACAAAGGTTTCTAAGTATCAGCGAACAGACATTTTCACTGTGTTCTTATTGTGGCATTAAAATTAAAATGTGCATTAAATTATCTTATGTTACAGGTGGAAAAGACCACTGAGTGACAATTCAGTTGTACATATTAATTGGAACAGAATATACTTTATTTTGCCACTTTGAGAAAACAAATATTGATTTGTTTTCAACCACAAAATATTGATTACTGTGTAATTCTTGAAATGGGTATCAAAGGAAGACAAGAGCAAAATGTGGAAAAGGGTGTGTCAAATCTGTGACAAATGCACCTTTTGACTCACAGTGAGGTAAGGAGCCAATTTGTTCCTCTTGAGCAAATAAATTTAAGTTGAAAATTAGACCTCTGTATCTGATATGAACACCAGTTTCTATAGCTATGCAGGACTGCAGTATGCAATGGCAGCAAAATTCAGTCACCATCACTATGACTCCAGGTAATGAGATTGATTTTAATCTGAATAAGTGTCAATGAAGTTATGCCAGCCTTTCAGCATCCTCACTTAAAATATTTATGTAGTAAAGCAAGCATATGGAAAGGGAAAATCCATTCCTGGACTTTAGCTGTTTCCTTCCCAAAAATGTCCATTCGTTCTGACTTTAAATTAATTTGAAGCTAAGAAGAGACTTGCCCGTTTTATTTTATTTTAATTTATATGTATATTGTTCCCTGAAAATTTAAGTTGACAACTTTTATCTGTTCTGAAAAAGTCAGCAGTTTAAATAACCAAATATTAGCTACCATGAAGGGACTCAAGCACAAGTGCTATGAGGAGAGGCTGAGGGAGCTGGGGTTGTTTAGCCTGGAGAAGAGGAGGCTCAGGGGAGACCTTATCGCACTCTACTACTCCCTGAAAAGAGGTTACAGTCAGGTGGGGGTTGGTCTCTTCTCCAAGGCAACCAGCACTAGGACGAGAGGGCACAGATTCAAGCTCTGGCAGGGGAGGTTTAGGTTGGATATTAGGAAGAGATTTTTTATAGAGAGAGTTGTCAGGCATTGGAATGGGCTGCCCGAGGAGGTGGTAGATTCACGGTCCCTGGAGGTTTTCAAGATGAGACTGCATGTGGCACTTAGTGCCATGGCAATGGTAGGGTTGGACTTGATGGTCCTTAAGGTCTCTTCCAACCTGGTTGATTCTATGATTCTATGAAAAGCTAAAATATTGCTGTGAACACAAGTAAAATAACATTACAGTTTTCCTAATTTGTTTGCATAAACGTTAAAATGCTACCATGTGTTACTGAGCACGTATTTTTAATCTTCAGATTATGATTTTTATAATTTTGTATACTGCTGCAAGGAAAAGAAACATGAATTGAGAAGAAATTGAGAATAAAGCTACCTTTCTTACTTCAAAATAGAAAGTATTGAAAGTTGGGGCAGTGTTGAATATTAGTATGAAATTACACTTCTGCCTAAAAGTAATTAAAAAAAATCTGTAGGTTAGATTTTGTGAAAGTCCTGAGATGCAAAGTTGCAAATTATGGAATCACAGAATCACAGAAAGGGTCAGGTTGGAAGAGACCACAGTGAGTCATCTGATCCAGCCTCCCTGCTCAGGCAGGTTCATCCTAAAACACATGGCACAGGATTGTTCCCAGAAAGTTCTTTTATATCTCCAGTGAGAGAGAATCCATGACCTCTCTGGGCAATCTGTTCCAATGCGCAGTGGCTCCCACAGTAAAGACCTTCTTGCTCATATTCAGGTGGAACTTCCTGTGCATCAGCTTTTGCTCATTATCCCTTGTTTTATTGGTTTCCACCACTGAGAAAAGCCTGGCTCCACCTTCTTGACACTCTTCCTTTAGATATTTTTATATGTTAATGAGGTCCCTCTCAGTCATGTCTTCTGGAGACTGAACAGGCCCAGCTCCCTCAGCCTTTCCTCATGAGTGAGGTACTCCAGTCCCTTAGTCATCTTCATTGTCCTCCACTGGACTTGCTCCAGGAGCTCCATGATTCTCTTTTACCGACGAGCCCAGAACTGGACACTATACTCCAGAGGTGGCCTCATGAGTGTTGAGTAGAGGGATGGGATCACCTCCTTCAACCTGCTGGCAATACTTTCACTTTCGTGGTTTGCGTTTTTTTAGTGTTTTGTATTTTTCGAAGTTTCTCCATTCAGAAACACTTAAAAGCCATACCTCTTTCCATAAGATGCAGAACCTATTTTGGCTAGTGGATATCTGGAGAAGCAGAAGTTAACTACAAGATATAAAGTCATTTCTCAAAGCCAAAAAAGTATTCTACTATTGGTAAACAGAGGGACTGAAAGGTCAGACTGAGTCCCTGATCCTGCATTTATGTGTGACAAATTCCTGTTTATAACCCTCCTGCTCTACCCAATGCCATTATGTCCTACTTGTTGAAAGGTGAGCATACAATATTGTGAGTTGATCTTGGCATCTTTACTAGGCTAAATTAAATCTGCTGAAAATTGAGGAAAAACTGCAGTATTTGATCTGTTGAGCTGGGGAGAAATCTAAAAAAACTCCGAAAAAAATGAAAACCAACCAACCAACCAAAAATAAACAAAAACAAACAACAGAAAAAAAATCCAAAACACTCCCAAAAGGAGTTGAATACAATGTTATCTTGACATTCTTATTTTTATGTGTAAAACCACAAATACCTAACTGCACATATGCAAAGGCTTCTGAGTCATTTCTTTCTGAGTTTTGATGATAAGCACTTAAAAGATTAATGTACTGGTTTACCAAAATGTTTGAATAGATATATAAATGTAAGAATAACTCCATGTAAGTCAATGAAGTATCTAACATGCCTAAAGCAAAGCCTGAATTTAGGAAGAAACAGTCATGAAATTCACCTTTTTTAGTTTTAAGATTGACCAATTGACCAAATAGGAAGTGACAGCCCGTAGGACACCTGTCCACCCTGAATAAACTTAACATGTTATTTCTGTTTCTGCATGAAAGTAAGAGGTTTTTCATGTGATAAATATGTTCACCTGTCAATTCTGGGTAAATTTAGCATATTATTTCTGTTTCTGCGGTAAAGTAAGGTGGGTTTTTTTCACACATAAGTGTGTTCAATGACGCCAAATCTTGTTTGATCGTTCATTAGTATATACCTGTTCCAACTGAACTGGAAGCTCTTGAGAAAAAACAGAGCAAACAATTTCGGTGCACTCCTAAAGTTCTTTGTTGGGTCACATCCAGCACCTTCTGCATTTTCTGCATGTGAACTCTCTGCAGAGAAGGCAGTCAGCAGATCCTTATGCATTGTTCATTCTTCAGTCGCTGGTCTTGTGTTCTTCACCAAGCAATGCCACTTTAGCTGAGCCTGGTTTCAGAAACCCATGCTACCTGCTGTTCCCTCAGAAAACTCACTTAATTATCTTCCCTTTCTTTGTCCAGTTCTTTCTTGGCTAGCAAAGCTATTTCTGTCGCAATATCTGCTAGCTGCATCTTAGCCCAAGAACTAGTAAAGATTTTCGTACTATGCATTTGGGATTCTTTGTTTTACTAAGGGTATCATTTGATATGATACTTTATAGGTCTTCAAACTATTCTGAAGAGGCATTGTTTCATCCCATACCGGTGTGATTAAAATATGACCATTTTCTAAAGCAGAGCACAGCATCTCTGACTGCGGAAGAGTATAGGAGATGGATTCTACCTTCTTCACACACAGATGTTTTTAGGACAATGTTTTTCTTCTTTAAATACAGAATGAAACTGCAACAAATCATTCTGAAAGACTCTCTCTTTTCTATTTCTCTTGTATGTTTGGCCAGGAGCATGCAGGGAACCTACAAAACCTCTCAGAGAACCTCTCCGAAAGACTTTACAAAGTCAATATCTGACATCTAAATTAAAACCTAGAGAGTATGTGTATTGTGCCATACACATTTGTAATGTAGTAAAGTACCTGTCAAAAAACGCAAGAAACACTTGAAAAAAAATTTAGAAAAGAATAAACAATTTTTATTTTCCTGCCCTTGTTCTTTTTTAGACATTTGAAAGTAAACATTACTGAGGTGAAACTCCTCCAAAGCAGACAATTTGCTGATATTTGGGTCATGCAGAACAGTTTTAGTTTTCTGCTCTGTCTCAGTCCCATCCAGTTTTGCACAGACTGAGCCAATACATTAATTTCAGTTAGAAAATTCTAAAATACAAATTTTCTATGCAAATTCAAACAACTTCAACGTTGTAGAAAATCTCTAAAATAGGAATTGTTTCAGATTAAACAAAATTAATCTGCAGTTTGAATGAATGAGTTTGCAGTTTCTATGGAACATTGAATAAGAAGAATGTCTGATTTTATAGTATCATAGAATGTTAAGGGTTGGAAGGGACCTTAAATATCATCTAGTCCCAACTCCCTCTGCCATGGTCAGGGACACCTCCCACTAGACCAGGTTGCTCAAGGCTTCATCCCACCTGGCTTTGAACAGTTCCAGGGTTAGGGCATCCACAACCTTCCTGAGCAGCCTGTTCCGGTATCTCACCACCCTCACAATGTAGAATTTCTTCCTAATATATAATTAAATTTCCACTCTTTCAGGTTGTAAGCATTACTCCTTGTCCTGTCACTACAGTTCATAACAAAAACTCACTCTCCAGCTTCCCCGTAGGCCTCCTTCAGATACTGGAAAGTTGCTATGAGGTTCCCATGAAACCTTCTCTTCTCCAGGCTGGGCAGCTCCAGCTTCCTCAGCCTGTCTTGGTAGAGAATATACTCTTGTCCTCTTTGTGGCCCTCCTCTGGACTTTCTCCAACAGTTTCATGTCCTTCTTGTGTTGGGGACACCAAAACTGCATGCAGTATTCCAGGTGTGGTCTCATAAGAACAGCATAGCATGAGAATCACCACTTTTGACCTGCTGGCCTCACTCCCTTTGATGCAGCGCAAGATTTGTTTGGCTTTCCAGACTGCGAGTGCTGCACTCTGCCAACTCATGTTGAGCTTTTCATCAATTATTACCCCAAAGTCCTCCTCCTCAGTGCTACTTTCAGTCACTTCTCTACCCAACCTAGGTGTGTCTGGATTATCATGCTCCAGGTGTAGGATGTTGCACTTTGCATTGTTGAATATCATGAGGTTTGCATTGGCCCATCTCTCAAGCTTGTCAGGGTCTCTCTGGCTGGCTTCCGTTCCCTTCAGCATGTTGACTGCATCACACAGCTTGGTGCCGTCAGCAAATGTTCTGCGGGTACACTTGATCCCACTGCCCATGTCACCAGCAAAGATGTTGAACAGTATCAGCCCCAGCACCGATGCCTGAGGGGCATTACTCTTCACTGGTCTTCATGTGAACAGTGAGCCATTGACCACAACTCCTTGCATGTGACCATCCAGGCAGTTTTTTATCCACCCAGTGGTCCACCCATCAAATCCATATCTTTCTAATTTAGAGGCAAAGATGTCATATAGGACAGTTTCAAGGGTGTCCAGCTTTCCATGACTTGAAAAGGCCAAAGCCATCCAAGCAAAGGGAAAGAAGGAAAAGGTGAGTCTTACAGTAAAAGATGAAGGCACTGGAAGTAGGACAGTCCCCATTCCTGAAGTCCATGTTCATTGGCAGGTATGGTGAATATACTCCCTGAGAAATGCTTGTTTATGTACATAACACTCAACAAGCAAAAATCTCTCTTTTCCACATTTCCCACCACATCACCTTTGATATGGTGAAATGGCCATTATCATTATAGCCATGCTGAAATCCTTCTTACCTATAGCTACATTCTTCACCTTGCACTTTGTGTCTTTGTGTCATCACTGGATATTGATGGACTGCTAATTTAAGTTGAGGTGAAATTTTCTACTAAATGCATTGCTTGTACTTTATTTGATTTTCATAATAAAAATTGCAATATAAACAGAGATGTCGTCACAGAGCTTAAAAAAAATTGGTGACTGACATGAGATGGTTTTACATGAGGAAAAAGAGCTTTCAGGAAATTAATACACAGCATCAGACAATTGCACATTAGACTGATATCTCAGTAGAACATCATAAAACCTCAAGAAGCTGATCAGTTAAGGCTGAATCTGAGCCTCTGGCTCCAGAAAGCAAAGGTAGCATCAAGTTATTTTCTAAAACTAATACATGCTAAAAATTACCATTTAGTCAAAAAATTTCAAAGAAATTTAAAACCTGTGATACTTCATGTTAGTCTAACAATGCAAACATGGTGACAACCTTTTGCAACTAAACCTAAGACTGTGGAAAGACTGGGGAGTGGGTGAATTTTTTCTGTACCTACTTTCAAGTACAAACTGAAAGGGCTGTGAGATTCTAATCTCATGTTACTCTAAGGGTAGGTATTCAGGTAGATTAGTTTTTACAGAAGTTATTTTTCAGCCTCCCTATACCTTTCACCTGTTATTGCATACATTATCCATAGCCTAAATACAAACAAAAGAGGCCAGTCATTAATAAAAGCATAAGAGGCAAGCCATAAATGCAGCTGATAGAAATGTTAGGCCATAAAAAAGCCAATTGAACATAAGAAAGGACTATGGAAATCCAGTGGCTGGGTACAGGACCAGTGACATTGATTTAGTAAATGTTAATACACCCACACGTGATTAGTCAGACAAATAATATTTAGAGTTTGAATTATAAAGAGCATAATCTGCAACATGACGTACTTTGTTTAAACACTTTAAATACATATTTTTTTATCTCTGTATAACAAAATAACTGATTTTAATAAAAATGACTCAGACCTTGAACAACATGCTTCTGTCATAACGACCCTTCAGTTCTTTCACCTCACATGTCAGAGACAGCTAGGGAAAGCATACAGACCAACATAAAGGTGTGCATTTGAGTTTGAAATGGAGGCAGTGAGTTGTCCCAGTGAATAGACCATCAAGGCTGAACTAGAGCAACTTGAGCCTTGCGCTAGCAGGGCATCTGCAGAAAACGGAGGTAAGTCATCAGAGGTATATGGAGACTCACTGGTTTGCTGAACTTTGCAATCAGACAATTAAAAAATTAAGGGTATGGATGTATGTTGTGAAAAGTGCTTTGCTTTTTTAAGTGAAGATAGTGTTGATAAACTGACCCTTCAGAGGATGATAGTAAATTTTTGCTGATAAAATTTATTAAAGTATCAAAGGCAGCAAATTAAGTTTTGCTACAGAATAAGTAAGTTCTAAAATCTAAAAAGCATCTGCCATTTTTAATGTGCAGATTATGAAACTGACAGGTTTTGAAAATATTAATTGGAAATGACCTCATACATCTGAAAAGTCGGATCTCTTTCATGTCAATTTTTTCATACCAGCACTGGCTAGAATACCAAAAGCTGATGCAACAGTGTCATACTTCATTTTGTTCTGTTGTGTGTTTTAGTTAACATATTCTAAGACAAAGTAAAATCAGTAAGCTAATAGGGCAGTATGAAAAGCATTAAGCTCTGAATTGTGTGCAAGTGCACCACAGTCTTATGGAATGGTTTTCACTGCAGGAGGCCCTCTGACCACATTCACACAGAGAATGCAAAAATACGTTAAAAATTATTTCAGGGAACCTTGTTCCAGGGGAATCATAAAGCCTTGAATGAGCTTTTTTATTTTTCTCTCAGTTCATGAGCAGAACAGAATTAGAATAATCTGTAATGTTTATATTGGAAAAACTGAGGCTCTTTAGGACTGACAGACCAAACAGTAACTGAAGTTGCTGCTCCTTTGCAGCTGGATGGGCTGAGGAGCAGCTCTGTGTAGAAGGCCTTGGGGTTGTGCTGGGCAGTGTTTTGAGCTACCATATGTGTCAGTTTTCTGAGAGATTTCTGAGCATGCTTAAAGCATGAAGTTTGGTATAACAGGAGTACACTCAGCTAGCTTTTAAAATTTAATTTCTCCATATTTCCCTGATTTTCACAGTAAAATATTTCATAGTGCATTTTTTCCCCTTACCCCATAATTCCTAGGCTACATATTATGTGTTTGTGCAATGCTTAAGCTGCTTCTGAGGTAGAATATCCAAATTTTTCTCTCTTGCCTTTTTGCTCACGAGAAACACATTCTATGCAGTTACCCACAGCTGTAAGCTCTATGACTGCTCTGAATTTGCATCTTTGCAGCTCTGAGGTACAGGTTTATTCTCAGTAGAACAGCATCCTTCTATCTTGCTCTTCTCACTTTTTTTCTGGGTACTTTGTTTGGTGGTTTTGTGGTGTTTTGCTTTGTTTTGAGTGGGTTTTTGTTTTGGGGTTTTTTTTTGCTATCTTAACAGTATGAGCCGCTCACTCATTTTCTTTGTCCCTTAGAGGGTTTTCCCTCTTCTGTAAACACATACATCAGTGCATTTTCTAATGCTACTTTTCTTTCCATTCCTTGAATTCTATTGTCAGAGAAACAATTTTGCTTCATTGCTTCAGGATGAACACCCTTATTTATCAATCTCCTATATTTAAACAAATCTCTCAGAGTGACAGTGACTGTAGTGTAGGAGAGATGGAAGGGATGAAGATGCCTTCTGCCTGAAGCCAAACTGGGTAGGCAGAACTGTGGCAGCTTTCCACTTTGCCTCAGGATCTGCATCTCCCAGTTGCACTGGTTATTCTGCCTACAGTATGGCAGATGAGGAAGTACTACTCTTTCATCTAACACATTATGTAAAGGCAGATGTTTTCAGCTTACTCAGACATTAGAATTAGGCCAGAATAGGATGCCCTGGACAAGAAGGATAACAAAATCTGGGTATGCCTGAACAACAAAATGAAGATACTAGTGCAGTGTGGGTTGCCATACCTTAAGTATAACTGGCACAGACAGCAGAATGTAGAATGCAGAAGAAAAATATTTGGTGTGAGTTTGCACTGGGATAAGGTTGTGGGGGGTCCACTAGCATCCATACTTCTGCAACATCACTATTCTCTTTCTGTTAGAGATGTAAATTGTAACTTGAAATCCAGCCCCACAATGCAATCTCTTCTGCTGCAATGAAGAAATAGCTTGACAGCTTTCTGTCAAGGGAAAGAAATCCCTTTGGATTGTTCTGGATTTACTGCTAACAGGCAATGTTGCAACAGGCAAATTAAATCACTTGGCACCATTAAGGTACTTGGGCAAGGTTCCCTATTATATCAGCCCATTTTCTTAAGAACAAATGCAGAAAAAATTTGTGGTTCATTCCACAGGTACCTTTTATTTATCTAGATTTGGTCTCAAAAGTAACAATATCCTAGACTCTTCAATTTTTAGAGTTCAATTTTTTAGTGTTCATTTGCCCAAATCTCACTGAATATAAAAAAAACTTATATGTGCTGTGTGCCTGATGAGCTGCTACTGATTGGAGGTCAAATTAGTCTTCACATTTATTTCAATGAACCCTAAAACATCTACAGCTTGCAAACATATGAGAACTTTACCATTTCTGTTATTTAACAATTATGTCAATATTTGTGGTCCTATTATTTACAGATGGGTTTTGTCAAGTGGAACTGACTTCAGGAATCACAGAGTTTTGTGACCTTTGATGTATTAACTTGTCAACCTTAACAATACAAGCCAGTAAAAATGTTGTGAATAAGTCTGCTCAACCTCTCTGATAATTACAGCATGTCTTGTGTCAAATATCATCTGCTGCTAGATAAATATTAGCATTAAAGGGCAGTCTGAATGTAAGCAATCCCAGTTTATCAAAATCTACTTTTTGACCTGAAAAGCAGGTGGCAAAACACATTGAAGTGAGGCACATGCTCCCAAAGTGAGAAACAAAGCACACTTGATGCTATTGCTGAATAATCTACAAATATGTCTTAGATGTCACTCAGAACTGTTTTCCAGTTGTAGTGGAGATAAATTCCAGAACTACTGAAGAGGTGGCATATTCAGACCTCTACACTGATGTGTTTCAACTATGATTTGAGAAGATGTATTTTAGAAACAGAAGAGTAATTCAGTTTTCTTCAATTTGTTCAGGCCTTGGTGAAATTCCCAGATGCAACTTTTTATGTCTGTGAATATTAGTCTAGTAGAAAGAATACTGAAATGCACAGTGTTGATTTAAAATCAGCCACAAAGTAATGAAGATTGACTTTTGTTACCAGTCCAGGCTGGATTGCAAATCCTAAATTTCCTACTGAAACAAAACATTCTATAACCCCCTGCAAGTCTTCTTAAATTACTATACCTAGTATGTCATCACTTATATCACCCCCATTTCTCTTATTGGGAAAGAGGTCATAAAATGCACCCTGCACATGTACCTGCATTAATGTCTGTCTTCTTGTTTTTGTGATTTTTCTTTCCTAGATTTTTCCCTCTAGCTGAGCAAGTGATACACAACGAAATATGCCTGAGCAAAGCAATGATTACAGGGTTGTTGTGTTTGGAGCTGGAGGAGTGGGCAAAAGTTCATTGGTCTTGAGATTTGTGAAAGGCACTTTCAGAGAGAGCTACATCCCTACCATTGAAGACACCTATCGGCAGGGGATCAGCTGTGATAAGAGCATATGCACTTTGCAGATAACTGACACTACAGGGAGCCATCAATTTCCAGCAATGCAACGTCTTTCTATTTCTAAAGGACACGCTTTCATTTTGGTTTACTCTATCACCAGCCGGCAGTCCTTAGAGGAACTCAAGCCAATCTATGAACAAATATGTCAGATTAAAGGAGACATAGAAAGCATTCCAATAATGTTGGTGGGGAACAAAAATGATGAAAACCAAAATCGAGAGGTGGAGAGCAGTGAAGGAGAAGCCATGGCTAAGAAGTGGAAATGTGCCTTCATGGAGACCTCTGCTAAGATGAACCACAATGTGAAAGAGTTGTTCCAAGAATTGCTAAACCTAGAGAAACGCAGGACTGTGAGTTTACAAATTGATGGCAAAAAAAGCAAGCAGCAGAAAAGAAAGGAGAAGCTGAAAGGCAAATGTGTGGTGATGTGAAATTGCACTGCAAGAAGTCATCCATGAATTCTCATCTGACAATACGCATGTAAAACCTATAGAGAGCAAACAGCCATGCAAGATCCTATTTATTAGTATCTGTTTTAAAAGAAATATTCTGAATTTGAAAAAATGAGGTACTATGGTTACTATGAAAAAAAGTCAACAAATAAAAATGCATGTACTCTAGCTATCAGTGACAATAAATCAAGAGGAAAAGGAAAGATGGCCCAGGATACTTAATGCTGTAGTTTACAAAAGAGAAGAATTTTCATCATTCACATAATGTGAAATATTTGGAAAGTCAACTTAATATTATTGGCAAATAACTGCAAGACAAAGCAATATATTATGTCAGAATCAAAACAAAGAAATGGTTGGAAGAACCCAGAACATACAAGTGCATGATGGGTGGTGTTAATCATGTCCTTTAAGGATACTGCGGACAAACAAATCTGTGCCATTTTCATCACTGACTGGTGGGACAGTAAGTAATCTTGGACCTGCCAAATGAATGAACTATTGCACAGTAAAAGGAAGTGTGGGGGTAGCAGTTAAAAAAACCATATTATCTCTACCCTCCAGCATGATATATCTTTCTAGTGTGATGCACTAGGTTTTATGATTTTAGTTTGAACTGAAGGTTGAGGTGAAGCCAGTTCCTGTAGGAGAGATGGAGATCATCTTTTCTGGACCCATCACTTCAAGAATAACCTGTGCTTCTAGCCCAGATATATTTCAGAAGAGCAGACATTTGTCTGTGGAGAATGTCAGATTTCTAAAAATGATGTGCATATACAAACAGAAAGTTTCCCAAGGGAGGACTAACTGGTGAGTCCTCTACAAAAGCCTCTAGGGGAAAGGCTCAGTTCAAATACTGCTGCTGGTTAAATGAACTCATGGTGTGATTAGTGAATGTCTTTTGAACTGGTGGTACCCTTGGAGAGGAGTCAATGTGGTAGGCAAAGATTTTATTCAAATTATCAGATTAGCTAGGTGTTACTTCTTTACATTATTATATTCCAAGTAGAAAGGGTTTATGTTTATGCACTAGTAGATCTATTGCCTTTATATTGTCTGAAGTGTTTTATGTTTGCCACTTAAACCCATGATGTGAGCTTATGTGACTATTTATAGAACCAAATCCTATGTCTGGAGTTAGGGCCCACAAGTAAGAAGATTTTCTTGGATAAACACTACAGGATTTGGCATAATAAGAACTGCAATCACTACTGTGTTGCAATGCAATACAAAGCTCAGAATAAAAAAAGTATTCAAAACACTCTGTCAGGGAAACCTGCTCTTCTCTAAACCTTTGAAAGGGGAAAAAGTGTACAAAATGTGAGCTTTCCTGGATGTCTTTCCAAAGCTTTTAAAAAAATTAGTATGAATGACTGAAGTATGTATCCCACTGAAAACAAAAGGCCATCAAAGATAAAATAAGCACATAGTTTTTAAAAGACACATTAAGATTGCATAAGCCACAATTTGCACCTTAGGAACTGCTTTGAATCTATAAAAAAGCCCTACCATATTTTTGGTACATGTTTATATCAAAACCATACTATGGGAAAATGCTGTCAAGTACTACTATTGTTAGTATGCATGCTGTTGCATTATAAATATCTTCCAGGAGATGCTCAAATGCAATATTTGCATTAAAATTGTTACATTGTTCTATCAGAGCTTGCTCACCTCCCGTCTTTCTAAAAAATGTGCAGATATTTGACAGGTGGAGCGATAGCATACATTTCTTTGAGCTAGAATTGCTACTAGCACTGTCTAGAAAGGAGCACAAATTTTGTCATTTGTTCAGAAGAAATTCTGGCACCAGTAAAATCCAAGTGTGAAACTCCTACTGATTTCAAGGAAGACAATTTTTTTTGGTGTTAACTTCATCGCATTAGAAGAGAGAATTGGAAAGAGCATGAAAAAAAGCGTAGGCTCTTCATTAACAGTAAATTCCTGGCTCTTACACGATGCTCTTTCTCTATCAATGTCAAAGTACTTTGCAAAGGACAGCATCATAACTTAACTTCTCAGGTGGTGAAAGTGAGGCACAAAGAGAGGAAGCAACGGCACGTAGGTTGCCTAGCAGGATAGTGGCAGACCCAGGAACAAAATCAGATCTTCTCTGTCCCAGTCCAGTGCTCACTCTGTGTTTCGTCAGACCATCCTTTCATGTTCTTAAATAGTTTCTGAAATACATAAAGAAACCTGGTTTGACTTACACAGCTAAGTGCATCTTTCTTGACAGTCTGTCAATAGAACAAACAGTATTTCTAGATCAGGGATGTAAAACCTTTAAAAGCACTATGTTTGGTAATACTTTTATAAATGTTTATAAATCTACTCTGTTTGTAAAAAAACTTGCTGATGATACTCAGCATCACAGCATTGAATTCCATGGATGAACCTGGAACTTCAAAAGAATGATCACACGTAAGGAGTAATGAGTCACATACAGAGGTCAAAAGTAGAGGGATTGCCCATGGATGCTAACACACTGGTGCCAAAGGTCATCATGCATGGCACATGCCTTAGCAGCCAGCATGGAATAATGACAAAGAGAAAAAAAAAAAAGGCTGTATAAAGAATCTTTTAACTTTATTACTTTAACTGGAGAAATTATTTACATAGCAAAGTATCTTGCAGAAGTACAGTATAGGGGATCTGAATTACTTAAAATGTACTGACTGCAAAGATATTACAGGCTGAAATTTGGCCCTGGACTTTTTTTGAATGTGCCTCATAGCAAGAAAAGAGTAATTGTATGACAAAGGTGTAAATAAAACAAGTAGCTGCCAATGTTAGGCTTGAGGACCATTTCCTTTAATTCCCAGTTGTGATTCCTCACCTGCTACATAATAAGCCATGAAGTATTTCATGGACTTGCATGTATCAAAGCAAGGCCAGTACAGAAGCAATATTACTCAAGGACCACAGACTCAAAAGATAACATATTTTATACCCTTGCATTGTAGTCCTAGTTTATACTATTAGATTGTACATATATGCATAGGTTTGAGCTGGTTTTAAACATTTGTTTTGCTATTACTTATAGAATTATTTTTTTTTAATATGGAAACATGTAAGATAAATAAAGAAAATATACTGCTTTATTACATTTTGTGTTTTATTTGGGAATGTGATACCAGTATCATAAACTCTTTAACACGTATATAAAAATATTTAAAACCTGTAAGGTCTACAGTGAATTTTAGCATCTAGAAAACATGATCTAGCCAAAATCAATCTTTAAAATGCATGACTTTTATATGCATATATGAAATATAAAGGTATGTAGTTATAATGAAAATGTGTTGTTGTGATTTCATTAGCAAATATATTATTTAAAAATTGGTTATGAAGTCATTTGTGCCTACAAGTTTCTATGTTTGTGGTGATGTTCTGAACATACAAATAAAGTTTTAAATGCAAACGCAAGTTTGGAAGAAGTCTTATTGGTATATGAATTGTGTTGGTTTCATAAGTGTTTGGTTTTTTTAAACTATAAAGGCAGTTCTCTAAATCAAAATGGATTTGTACGTATTAGGCAGTGCCCCAGAGTCTTCAGCTATGCAAATCAGTCCTGAGAGAATTGGAGCAGTATTATGTTATATAGCATTGTTGAAGCAATCTACCTTCATGAACACCCCCCCCCCACCCACCATTATCAGTAGGTGTTCCTTTTGGCCACCAAAACCAAAATTGTTCTGGAAGCTAGTCTATATTTTATTATTTGCTTAAAACTAATGACAGGTAAAATTTTGTGCTTGTGAAAAATTGAAACTTGTTGTATGGATCCTGCTATTCCTCCTTATTTCTGTGAAATTCCTGATGATTTTGCAAAATTTCCTACTATTGCATTTTATTTTACTACCTTTTTAAAAAAAAAAAAAGTCAAATATAATAGTTTAGCACTTCTTGCAGTACAGAAGATGTGGCAAAAATTGTTCATTTAAATAATAATTTCTGTATGTAAGCAATAATTCATAGCCAGCAGATGGAGGGATCAACAAAAAAGCTTGAATACTTAGGCACATGCGTAGGCATTTGAACCAGTGATGAAATATTGGGTATTGAATGCATATTTCATGTCACTGTTAAGTATTTGCACATTGCAGTCCAGAAAGCTTTTTATTTTTAGTAGAAGACACCCCAGAACATGTTAATTTTATTTTTTTTTTCTAATATGCCATAATTTACTAGGTTTTGTCCTAATCCTGACACAACTTACTGCAGAACAGTGGATGGGCCAATTCAGTGTCCTGGGGTTTGCACAATTCAGTCAGTAATTTCTTTGCAGATGTTTTCCATATAATAAAATCATAGAATCATCAAGGTTGGAAGAGACCTTTAAGATCATCAAGTCTACTCCATTGTAACCCCTAAACCCTAAACTGTATCTTCCATTGCCAGATCCAGACACCTCTTAAACACTTTGAGGGATAGTGAGTCCACCACCTTCCAAGGCAAGCTATTCCAAAGTCTGACCACCCTAACAATGAACAATTTTTTTCAAATATCTAGTCTGAATCTCCCTGTCTCAGTTTATGTCCATGCCCTCTAGTCCTCTCACTGCAGTCATGGCAGAAGAGACCAACCCCCACCTCTCTAAAACCCCCTTTCAGGTAATTCTAGAGAGTGATGCAGTCACCCCTGCATCACCTCTTCTCAGGACTAAACAATCCCAGCTCCTTCAGCAGTTCCTCTTATGACATATGTTATAGAGCTTTTATGAGCCTCATGCCCTTTGCTGGACTCTCTCCAGGGTCTCGATGCCCTTTTTCAAGTGAGGGGCTCAAAACTGAGCACAGTAGCTGGGTTGTGGCCTCTGCTATGCCAAGTACAGGGCAAATGGAGTCCTGCTGGCCACACTATTCTTGATAAAGGCCAAGATGCCATTGACCTTCTTGACCACCGGTGGACACGGTTAGCTCATATTGATCTGTCTGTCAACCAACACCCCCAAGTCCCTTTCTGATGAACAACTCTCAAGCCACCTCTCCCCCAGCCTGTAGCACTGCATGGGATTGTTGTGATCCAAGTACAGGACCTGGCATTTTTCCTTATTGATCCTCACGCAATTGTCCTCAGCCCATGGATCATACCTATACAGGTCTTTCTGTAGAGGTTTCCTACTCTCAGACAGATTGACATTCCCAACCAGTTTAGTGTTGTCTGCCAACT